GTGTAATTTTCGAATTAATGCTGAAGATAAAATTTTGCAGGAGTATTTTGAACATGGCGCTAAGAATGCTTAGTACAACTTAATGAGGATACATAATGAAATTCGTGAAAAATTTACAGGGTTTTTCAGCTCGATGCTATGAATGAACCAAGCATTGCAAAAGCAATTGATGATTTCCTGACAAATCATGAAGTTGATCCACTCAAATGTGTCGGCCTGGGGTTTGATGGTTGCTCCACTATGTCGGGAAAGAAAGGCGGAGTTCAAGCAATTTTAAGGAAAAAATACAGCAAATCTTTTTTTTTACTGTGCGTCACACATATTAAATTTAGTTGTGAACGATTTGAATCGTTTAAATAAAGTGCGAAATACAGTATTAAAAAGGAATATGATAGCAAACATCCATAGCCTCTGCGAAACAGAACATAGTCCGAGAACTATAAGGTAATTAGGGTTTTTTATCCATTGAAGAAAATTTGGCCACTAGGAAAATATCTTATCAGTTGCATTTTGCGGCATGCAAGTCAAAATTTATCGTTGCTGTTTATTTTGATTGACCTAGAGCCTATAGTCAACCGCCTATAATCTGCAAAAACTAATGTTTTAAAAAACACAAACAGAACGCAGAGAACGCAACAAACTCTTTATTGCAGGAAGCCAATAAGATAGCCGAAGAATGGGGTTTTGAATTATGTACCCCTAGAACTGTAAACAAGCAACAGCATAGAAGCAATCAACCAGCTGATATTCCTAGTGAATACTGGAAGCGATCCATTATTCTTCCGTATCTGGATTCTATCATATCTTCTTTAGAGACACGGTTTTCCGAAGAAAATACGCCAGCCTTCGCTCTGAGTCTTCTGCCTCCCAAGCATTTTTAAAAAGTTGATTTAAATTGCCTTACATTAGAACTGAGACAAATCTTAAACCACTATAAAATATATGGAGTAGATGCAGAGCTAGAAGGATGAGTAGAACATTGGAATAAAAAACGCCTTAATAATGAGTTGAAATGGGTACCGGGTATGTTGAGGGTCTCAGATATACACCACACAAGTAACATAACATTCTCCAGAGGCTAAGAAAAGACAAAGAAATTATTAATACCACAAAAAACAGAAAATTGGCTTACTTCGGCCACATTATACGTAATACCGACTTCTACAGTTGATTTTACAAGGCAAGATTGAGGGTAAGCGATTCTGGTTAACTGGTCTATTTCAAGCTGCTGTGAATATAATAAGATGGGTCAATGTAATCGTCAACATATCTAGAAGATAGGCACATTTAGAAGAAGAATAATTATTTAGACAACTTCAACACCCTTGAAATTTTTGAACTAGTTTAAGCGTCCACTACTTTCTATCCCCTAACAAAAAAATTGCTGGAAATTCTCATAACATTGCTTTGCACTACGTGTACAGTTAAAAGGTCGTTCAGCAGTCCTCGAAGAATTAAGTTTTACATGGCTCCAGTTTTACAAGAATTTACAATTGATTCGCGTAAATTGTTGTTTAAATAATAGTGTTTAGTAACAGACAACCTATCTTGCTCCACAAATCGAAGGCTTATCCAGGAGGTAATAAACTTTTCATCACGTTTTTGTAAAAAGCATTAAAAAGTTAAAAAAACATAGTTTTGATCCTGTGGACGCCCATGATTGCGGTAGCAATAAGAAACCTTAATATGACATCTAGCTATTGTTGAGCGGAAAACAATAAACAATACATACAATACATATAACAACCAATAAACATACTTTAATATGGTTTTAATAAGTTATTTTTGAAATTATCTACCATTTATCTTTGGTAGATTTTTTCATTTTCTTCTTACTAATTGACCATATATGTAATGTAGGCGCGTATTTGAAGTGTCCTCGTATCTCACAAATTTAAACTGTTCTTATTATCAACAAACAAGACACTTAAAAACCAGCATGAAGCTTGTTTTTGTTACTCGCCAACATTTCGTTCCTAATAAATTTCAGAAAAAATCATTGCGTGGGTATATCCATACCAGAAAATACCACTCTACTGAACCATGAATTTTCATGAAGCAACAGACCGGCATACAAATGGGTGTATACTAAAATCTTAATAAGTTATACACGTATCAATATGGAATTTAGAACAGTAGTCTGACGTGACGGTTTTAAAACCTTGTAAAGTTGTTAATATGCAGATTATTTAACAAAATGTGTAATTTTTTATCACAATTTTTTAACAAGATCCCCTTTTTATACGATTGATTATGTAGCTTTCAGTACTTAGTGGATAAAAATGAAATCAAGCAATCTTGTCAATTATAAAAAGCAAAAATAAAAATTGTACTTTATAGGTTTTATTTTCAATATTGGAGATCGCACTGTTGACCACTTTAACATGTTAATAGCCACGATACTAAGTTGTTTTGGTTCTGCTTCTTTTTAAATTTTAAATTGTTAAAAAATTGAAATCCAAAATGAAATGTGAAAAGTATTAAAGACTGTCTAAAATTAAATTACATAAATCTTGGTTGAATAGCATATATCGTTGGTATATTTTTCAATTTTCTTTTATCAGACAATCGGTCTATCTTCTTCGGACAATGTACTACATTTCATAATGGATTTTTCTCCTCTGATACTGATAGATCTTTGTTTTAAAGACTTTTGCTCTTTGGGGATATCGTACTTCCATTTCCCATCAATATTTTTTTTACCTAAATAGGATTTACCGAGTTCCCTTTTATTCTTGTTTTTATTTACGGCCCACTCTTCTGAAACTACTTGGTGACGTTTTTGTCGTTTTCTTTTATCGGAAGTTGGCTCTTCTCTAACCTGGATACATTCTTCAATAATTTCCTTTCCACTAAATTCAACTGTTTGTTCAACTTCAAGTTCTATTGTTTGCCCTAAAAGAACTGGTGAAGGCCTATGTCCAGCAGTGGACGTGATTGGCTGGTGGATAGTTTCATTAGGTTGTATGCCCAAGTTGTCTTCCATCTCAATATTCTCGCAAATATTAATAGCATCAAATATATTAAACTGTAGGCTTTTATCAAGAACACTGTCTTTTGTAACTGTTTTAAAACATGACTGCTCAGTAGGCCTACCATCTTTAACTGTGTCATGGTGTAAGCTTGTTTCAAAAGTTTGATCAAAACCATCAGTGTCAGATGACATAATCAAAGGATCATTATTTAGCACTATTCCAGTAGACCTACCATCAAATGAAGTTTCTGCTGAAACAGATACTTCGGTATTCAAATTTAATAATTCTAGTTTAGAGGGACATCCTGTATCACTTATAACCAATATCTCATTTCTTGAATTAATTGCTCTATTTAAGATGTCATTAGTCACCTCAGATGTATTTACACTATTTAACATTTCTATAATTTTACGGCTTCTACTGGTCATGATGGTTGAAAGTATTATTATTTCTTAATCTGAAACCATACAAAAACACTGAACTTCTCTCTCTTCAATAGATATGTAATTAACACTTTTAGCTAGGTTAGGCAGTTTTAGGTTAGTTTATAAACATTTTTTTAAACAGCTTTTATGCATAAACATTGATTGGGAATTTTGTAAATCAATAAAACTTAATTATTTTAAGAAGGTAGGTTTACGAAGCATTTCACCAGAGATATATTATTTTAGTTTTAGGTTAATATGGAGTAACGCCTTTTGTAAAATTACTTTTAAGGCAGGAAAAAGACCTAACTCCTGTAGTATTTTTTACAGAACTGTTTTATTAAAACTTGAAGTCTAAATAAAAAATGTATTTTATTTATTAAACAGTGTATTACCTACCTAATAGAATAGTAATTAACACGAAAGTAACTGACAGATATTTAGGTACTCAACAATCAGCCTCTTCTAACAACTGGTCTACTAACAACATCGACTATAGAAAAACACATGCGCGCATTGGAGTTAAGGCATATGAAAATTTAGATCAGATGGTGATTTCTATAGGTATTTTGATAATTGAAGTTATAAAGGCCTTATAATTTTTTCGGAGTTACGGTTTCTTCTGGACGTGTACAGATCAGCTGATAGTAGCTGTAAACACTAAAATGTAAAAATATGATTTTTGGGGAGGTACGACCTTTGATAACTAGACCGAAATTATATCATCTTGTCAATAAACAGTGTTTTTTTAAATAATTTGAATAATGGTTTTTGGTGAAGTTGTTGATTTTATTCCTTAATATACAGTACCTAAGTAACATAATATCACGGATCAATTGAGATATATCTCGTGGTTTATCTTCTTCTTAAAGTTCCATCTCTTATCGGAGGTTGGATATCATAACGGCTATGGCCACTTTGTTAGCTGCTGCTCTGAAAAGTTGTAGTGAACTACAGTTAAACCACTCTCTAAGGTTCCTCAGCCAGGAGATGCGTCTTCTTCCTATGCTTCTTCTTCCTTAGATCCTTCCCTGCATAATAATTCTCAGCAGCTCATATTTTTCTCCTCTGGTTATGTGACCCAAATACTCTAGTTTTCTTCTTTTTATGCTGTTCATAATTTCTAACTTCTTATTTAGACCTCAGCATTGGTAATACTTTGAACCCACTGAATTTTTAACATTCTTCTGTAACACCACATTTCGAACGTTTCTATGTTTCTTATGTGTTGTTTCTTCAATGTCCAAGCTTCCATTCCATATAGTACGATAGATATTATGTAACATCTTAGAGCCCTCAATCTGAGATGCAACTGAAGGTCTCTGTTGGTAAGCATTGTCTTCATTTTCATAAATGCTTGCCTTGCAGTTTCAATTCTGACTTTATCACAATTATTTAACTACTAATCTGAATAATAAACTTGTTTTCGAGGTTTATAGACCTTGATCTGGAATTATCTATTCCTGGCGGTTCTACTATAGCATTCATTTTCATTTCGATAGATTATCATCAGTAATCGTTTTAATCAATAGATTCTATGGTCCCTATATTATCCAACATAAAAAATTAAGAAAATCATTTACAAAAGAAAATGTCTTACCTGTTTCATAGTCATAAGCAATTCTTCTTTTACTAGGCCAATGCATTTCGCTTCTGGCTCGTCTATTCCTTCTTTCATATTGCTGAAGGTCTTCAATGGCTGCGTAGTTTTCTTGATCGCTGAATATCGAGTCAAATCTTTCTTCTCTAATATTTGACATGATGGGAGCAGGAGCTGAAAAATGACTTATTGTAGCCATCGTGGAATCTAAAATATTATTACGATTAAAAGTAGTTTTAGTCTTGAGGAACATAATTCACTTTGCAAACTAATATTAAAGACACCTTTTTAGTTTCATTTCAATGGGCAGTTAAAGAAAAAATAAAGCAATAAATTAATTTAATTAGATAGAGTGTGTTAAATGATTAGAGCACAAAATGTAAATTAGATTTGTAACAATGATTTTTAAAACGAAGGAAGCACTTTTTTCATAATAATAATAATAAGAAAATGCAGAAATATAAACTCTAGCTTATATTTCTTCTTCATACAATACGAGAAAGCCTTTGACAATTCAAAACACAAGATATTTATTACTATATTACAATCATATTTAACATCGAAGATCAAGAACTAAGATTTATTCTTTATCTCTGTTGTGTCTTTCGTAATTTTTTCCATCCTTAAGGATTTTCTTAGTTCTATTTATTTTTGGTACTCTATGTCGAACCAGTCTTTCATCTTTTTATTCTCTTGTTTATTACATTATTTTGCTGCTTTGTTCATTACTTGCTTTATGTTTACCTATTTGTTCTCAGTTTATTCTTCTATTTGTATCTTTTTTAGTTCTCTTTCCATTATTTCCTCGTACATTTCTTGCTCTTTCTTTGTTGCTAATCAAATTGGGTTATTTATACATTTCTTTTCTTTTATTTTGTTTTTGTTTTCTGGTATCAGTTGCTTAATTTTGATGCCTACCATGTAATGATCTGAGTCAGCTTCTAGTCTTCTGTATGTTCTTATTTTCTTTATACATTGCTGTTATTCTTTTTTGATGAGCACGTGTTCTATTTAATTTTTAGTCTTTCTATCTGGGGATATCCATGTTTCTTTGTGTATTTCTTTTCAAATGAAATTGAACAAGTATTAGACATATTTCAAATCATAATAATCTACTTATATATTACTCTTACTAATAAAAAAATTTACTCAATTATCAATAACAAAATCACTTGTAGCCTAATCCCATATAAACGCAATATAAATTATTCAGTAAGAAATCACTTTTTGTACGGAGAGTTCAACTTAATTAAATAAAATAAGTGATCGCTTATAATATTGTTTTTGTCAATTTCGCATATATTTTAAAAATACTATATTAATCATTATCTTACTTGTTCTACTCCTTCTTCCAGGTACATAATCAAACGAACTCGTTGGTTCAGCAAATTCCCCTGAACTTCCACTAGGTACACTCTGACTAGAACTAAGTTCCATTGAATCGAGGTGTTCCCGGATGTAAGCATAATTTTCTAAATCCCATGGATCAATGTAGGGTTCTTTTTCCATCAGCGACTCATCTGTTTCATTATCTAAAGGAGACCAGTAGTATGAATCTCCAGGCATATTTTTTCTGAAACAAAAAAGAATATGTTTTAAATTTTAAATAAATAATAAAAATAATAAATAATTTTTAAATATTTATTAGTTTTAAGTAAATAATTGATAAATAATAAAATATTGAAAAAGGTTTTGGATAGTTTAAAACAGGCTCGAAAGGTAGTTAAGTAAGCAAAATATGAGGACAAGTGCGTTTGGTTGGGTTCTTATAAGTAGGATTTCAAATTACAGAGAAAAATGTGTTCTCAGAACCTATGTTAGTAAGTAATTAAGTAAGCAAAATATAAGGATATTCAACTATGGTCGGATTCGTATAAGTTTTCTAATTATTCCTCTTCTTCTTCATGTTTTTATGTAGACATAACTCGGTCTGTTTTTCCATGTACCTCCAGTAAGTTTTTGGTGGAACCTGTTTGGAAGTCTTCGCACTGATCGTTTTTCTATTGAGGAACCGTCTTACGCTGTCTCTACTACTCTATTTGATGTCATTTCGCTTATAAGTAAGATTCTTATAAGTAGGACCTCAAATTATAAGTAAGACCTCAAATTACAGAAAAAACTATGTTATCAGAACCATGTTAGTCTCTTTAATTCATATCTCAACGCATAAAACAGGTTGAGGTTGGGAGACCTCGCTAAGTCATGACATATTTAGTATACAGTGATTTTATGCATCAGTATAAACTGATACTTTCTCAGTTACATCTGTAAAGAAAACGTAAGGCCTCAACAGTTAAAATTAAATAAACAGAGAGATATTTATATATCACATTCAGATGCAAGTGTTTCATGAACAAAAAAGTTTCTCATTACTTAAATATCTTTAGCAGTGCCCTGAGATTTGATTGGCTTAACTAAAAAATAAATAAAAAATAATTCTATTCAGACAGAGATGTATGGAGAAATATGGAATATACTCCAAAAATCCAGAAGTTTGCAAAAGATTTGCCTTGCAGAGGAATTTGCACTGTTTCCTGAGAGACAATTTATGCGGTACTATATGCAAGAGGGAAATAATGAGAGAGCTTTTAGAGCAGTTCCATATATTGTACAGTCAAGCGGCACTGAAGGTATGAGAATTGTCTAAGAAACTCTAAAAATGTTGCAAGGTAAACTTGGTTCATAATAAACGATCTTCGAAATAAAACTAACACAGCTCAAACATTTTCTCTTCCAAACTGTGAAAATCTCAATGAATACTTCGTTAATGTGAGTAAAAATATAACATCAGCTATTTTGCCCAACAAGATCCTATTTTCTATCTTCCCAATTCAAAAAAGGTTTCGAATTCATTCTTTAGAAGATTAGTTGATAAATCTGAACTGATCCAAACAATCAGTAGTATCAAAAGCAAATCTTCCAAAATTATTGAGATACTTATAAAAGCCCGACTTATGTTCTTTGTCGTTAAAAACAACATTTTATCACAAAGACTGTTCGCACTAAAAAATATTCTTTATACTGCCACTGTTTGTTGTGACTATGCCAAAGCTTTCGATTGTGTAAATCACGACATTTTGATAAAAAACTGAATTCGAGGTATTTATTTGTATTGGTTCCAATCTTACTTGAGGAATAGGAAACCAGTTAGAGGAGTACCTGGAGGAACTCTAATATTGCAACTCTTCACGCAATTATGACTTCTGATCTATTTAAAATAAAAACCTGGTCCGACTCTTATTTACTCTCTTTTAACGTGGATAAGACAGTGGCATTATCCTATAAAGGAGCTCTTCAACCCTTGCTTCTTAATAACAGCCAGATCAGTTTTGTCGATTCTGTAACATTTCTTGGTATTTTTATAGACAGCAAACTTAAAGATTAACCTAAGATTGCTACTTCTGCCGCTTCATTGCTAACACGTTTTTCACACTCCTTTTTTTTGCTCAGCTACTGATCTCGCTTCATGAAATTTCGTAACTTGTTTTAATATGTATGAGTAAATAAGTTGCTTATCTTGATAAAGTTGATTAAATATCTTGCTGTTCTCCTTATACACTTTCCAGTTAAAAAAAAAAAAAAAATTAACCCATTTTACGATAGAACGGACGATTTTGAATGAATTTAAAAAATATATAATATCGGTGTTAAACGCTACCAAAAACAGTTAAAACAATTAGTTTTTACAATTTTTTTTTAATAAAGTTTATGACGTGATGGAAAAAAATTGTCATTAATAGGTACCAGCAAAACATGTGTTACTTTTAGTTTTCAAGAGGTCAACACTTTCAAAAAATTTATTGTTTTTCACAAGAGCAGAGTTAATACGATGATGGATTCCTGAATTTTCCATCGAGATAACTGTTTAATGATGTGCCACACACTTAAAATTTATGCTCTATTTAAAATTAAGGATTTACTGTACTGAAAGGAAGGTGGTTGACAAAGGACATATGTCTATACCGTTAAAAAATAACCCCTTTAGAATAAACATCCGAGGCTGTATAGTGTTTCTTTGAACAGTAATTGTTTTTACGATTGATAGGTTGCTAACCTTACCAACCACCCTCCACATTTTATACGAGCTGGGGACAGGCTGTGATAACCGCAGAGCTACTCAATCTACCCCGCAATCACCACAGGCAGAGTGCTGCATTAATAAAACAATACGGAGAAATAAAAATATAGGGAAAGAAACGAAAGGCAAACTTTTCAAAACAGTCATCAGACCAATAATGAAATAGGAGGCAGAAACAAGACCTGACACAGAGAGGACAAAAAGGATGTTAGAGATATCAGAGATGAAAACACTTATAAAAATTGATGGTACGACACCATGGGATAGAGCTAGAAGTACAGATATACGACGTAGATGCAAGGTGGAGAACATCAAGAACTGGGTAAGAAATAGAAGAGTAGAATGGAACGATCATATAAACCGAATGACAACAAATAGAGTAGTAAAGACAGAACAGATGGTTCCCCAACAAAAAGACGATCAGTAGGAAGACCACGAAAACGATGGAATGAGAACTTACTGGAGGCACATTGAAAAACAGACATGTCTATATAAAAAGAAGAAGAAGACTGGTATAAATCACCCTTCACATTTTACTCGAGCTTGGTACCGGCTGTGATAACCGTAGAGCTACTCAATCCAACCCCAGGTAGCACACTGAACAGCACAGCACAGCAAACAATATGAAGAAATAAAAATATCGGTAAAGAAACGAAAGCAGAATTTACAAAACGGTCATCAGACGAATAATGAAATATGCAGCAGAAACAAGACCTGACACAGAAAGTACAAAAGGGATGTTAGAAACAGTAGAGATGAAAACACTTTATGGTAAGACATTATGGGACATCATTCAGATTTCCTGGCTGCTACAAAAGAGTCAATCGAATATATTTATAATCTAGATGTTTGTTTGTAGAATATTATTTTTATATTTACTGTTGTTTGTAATTTATATAATTTATATTTATATATTTATATTTATATGAACCTGTGATGTAGCCATACGCTAAATAAATAATTAAGGGACATAGCTAGAAGTACAGATATACGACGCAGATGCAAGATTGAAGACATCAAGAACTGAGTAAGAAATAGAAGAGTAGAATGGAATGATCATATAAGCCGAATGACAACACATGAAGTCGTAAAGACCGAAAAGACGGTTCACCAATAGGAAGACGATCAGTAGGAAGTCTACGAAAACAATGGAACGACAGCTTACTGGATTCACATAGAAAAACAACAGACTCATGTCTATATAAAAAGAAGAATATGAAGAAAAAGAAGAAAAAGAAGAATAAAAATCGACTTTTTTCAGAAACTTCCGCCCCTGAATAATCAAAATATTTCCCGGTAGTTCGTAATTATGTAAAACAATTTAAATTCAAAATAAAAAGTAAACTATATGAGCAAAACAATTTAACAAAAACAATAAAACGATTTGTTATTATTTATGCAATTCGCGTTTATGACTGGTAATGCCCTGGGAACACGGTTAACAACAACATGTGCATTGTTGAAAAGGTGGTTAAAAAACTCTCACGATAACATTTAAATACAATTCATAAAATTGTCTTAGTTGCGCTTGTATTATGTAACACACATAATTTGTTTTCTTCAACAAAGTATCTTTTAATAGAGAGTTGTGTCAGATTGTAGGAAAAAGTAAAGTACTTGGATTATTTTACACTTCCGTAGAAGTCGGTATTAGAAATTTTAACAGAAATTCATAATTTGAAATAAAGTAAACTAACAAATCAATAAAGTTTACGAAATGTGTGAAAACTGTGAATCAATAAATTTTACGAAAACTCCAAAAGTAATTGTAATAAGTCTAATCTAAGGTGACATGCACAGTTTAAAAATTTTATTGTCTTCCTTCTTCTTCTTGTAGCACTACAACCCGGGGTGGGTCTTGGCTGACTGCAAAACTTGCTTCCATCTTGAACGGTAGTCCATAATAGTTGGGTCAGTGGGGAGCCCCATTGTTCTTAGATCTGACTATATATTGTCTCTCCATCACATTCGTGGACGTCCTAAGGGCCTTCTTCCTGTGGGGTCTTCCTCCCATATTAACATGACAAGGCGGTCATTAGGGAGTTTATGGACATGACCAGCCCATCTGGATTTAGATGGCATTAGACGTTGCGATTTAATCTCTTGAACTATGACGCTTGGTTTATACATCTGCTTGACCTCAGCATTTGTTCTCATTTAGCATTGGTTGCTATTAATGTCGTGATAAGGCACAAAGATTCTTCTGAGTATTTTCTTCTCAAAACATCTGAGTTTTCTTTCAGTTTCTTTGGTCAGGGTCCACGTCTCACACCCATATATGAGCACCGGTCTAATCACCGTTTTATATATTTTAATCTTTGATGTTTGTATTAGGCTTTTAGATTTAATAGGTATGTGGAGGCTTTACATATATCTGTTTGATGCCTGAATTCTTCCTTTAATCTCTTCCGCGATATCGTTATCTGCAGTGATTGTTGCTCCGAGATATTTAAAACTCTCCACTTTTTTAAAGTTCTATGGGTCTACTGTTACAT